GGTACTGCTTGCTTTGATTAGGTTCAATATTCAACCACAACGTTTGTGGGTTAGGCACACAAGTATTTATTCAAGTCGTTATGGGAGATGATGGTTTGGTGTTTTAATTTGTCCTCATTTATGTGGTTGTGCCACATGATGCCACTAAGTTTCATCTAGCTATGCTTCCTAAAAGGTATTCTCATTCAGGATAGACTGCAGTTTTTACCTTGTCTTGGCCTCGTCAGCATGCTTAATAGGAATCGAAACCTGGTTGTAGAGCATTTATTCTTTACATTTTGTCATTGCCACTCTGCCTCGGGTGTCACTGGATCTCAGGAAGGCTATTCCTTTCAAGAGAGGTCATGCCTTTCCCATTTTAGATGAGGTCAACATATATTAGATATCATAATAGGCTATATTTCTTATATTTATGTTAAGTAGGTTTCGATATCACTTATATATCTTGAATAAAAGTCTATATCGCTGTGAATCGGCACGCTTTTAAAATGGCATCAAAATAGATAGCTTTTGTGAAATGAGTAGGTGTAATGTCTGGACTTGGTGGGTGCTTTTAATGCTGTCACTTATATTCAGCCAAAATAAAAAATAAATTTTTTTATGATAAATGATTTTTTCACATTTTTTTTATAAATCTTTAGCTTTTGTTGCTCTCTTCACCTGCCCGAAAATCTATGAGCTCTATCAAGTAAGTAGATAAATATCTTTCCTATATAATAATATCTACCACCAAGGTTAATATTACATTTTTATGCTAAACAATGTCTGCCTTTTTATATTTGAACTTATTGCTGCTGGCCTCAATGGGTTTGCCGAGCTAAATAGTGTCTCGAATCGCTCACGCATGTTTCTCTTTAGCCATTATGTCAAGGCCAATACTCTTATCTCCCTTTTTTCCCATGCTTCTTTATTTTCTTGCACTTTCTTTGTCCTGGTATAGCATATCGCCATTCTTATATTTAAGAATGAGAATGAAGCCTGCCAATTAAATATTAAACCGCTTCATTAGTTGACTTACTGGGTTTTCTGTCACCTACCAGCTAGTTTGCCAGCAAATTTATTTCTTAATCTTCTTTGCTTGAATTAAACCGTTGCCTCTATTTATTTTACTTATTCTTTATAATATCACATTTTAAAATAAGGCTGAAAAAGTATATGGACGTGTTCTATATAAGCAAATCTTCTAAGACAGACTTTATGTTGGTTGCGAACATTAAACATTGGTTTTTGGTTATTATGAAACTGTCCTCAGGAAGACTGTAGGCTGCTTATCGTGGTCTAAGATTGTGTGTGTGGAAGTTTAGTCGATTTATTACAGTGTTGCTTTCTACGAAGTAGGCTTTGTTTTATTTCTTTATATCTTCCTTCGGATTGTCCCACGGGACATTTTTTTTCATCATTCACCGCAAGGTCTTCAGGCCGCTTATGCCGATTCATTTTTCTCTTGCTAAATTTTATTTTACAATTATAAGTAATATAATCCGCTGTATTATCAACATATTTCAGTTTTGGTGATGAATTGTTTTACAACGGAGACTTACCAACATAGAGCCTGTGGGAAGCAACATTAGCCTAATTTGCTTCGATAATTGCTCAAATAGCCTCAAAAATAATATTTTAATCTTGTTAATTTTCACGTTCTATTAGGCCCCATAGCATGTCATAATGAATGTGGAGTCACAGGAAAAGTGTCCCATTTGTGCCAGACGGCGAATCTACCCTATCAACATACACTGTCGCTTATTTGAGTTGGTAATCTGACGCGATATACCCTCAAGAAATTGTTTTTTGCTTCCAAAACACCTGATCCTAGAGTTTTATTTTTTTCAGTCGATTCCGATGTTTTTCCTCTCATCGATTTCATTTCCATGCAGACGTGCACTCGACATGGCTCTCTCTCTTCGATTCCTTTTCCTGATTTTGATTCTCGGATAATGACACACATCAATAATTCTGCAAGTTGTCACAAGCATGCCTTTAATCAATGAGAGCCTTCTTCCATACGATTTCTCAATATCCTACATAATTCACTACATGCTCTTCCTTTTTATGCGCATTCTATCATTTAACTCCTGTCTATCAGGCAATAAATGGAGCCTTGTTGACTATACTATGGATTTACTCCGCCTATTCTGTATGTCCTCTTTCAACTTTGACACTAATTGCAGGTCAACTTTGTGAATCCTTCATTTTATTCGTCTAATCCTGATCTAAGGCAACACTTAAAGTTTTTTTAATTGGAACGTCGCTAGATCTCCAAGTATTGTCTGACCACACTTTTGGAGGGTATCTTTTCTAGTTATCATTTTCTTTATTTTAGGATCACTAAGACCAATTTTTTAACATGCTATCCGGAACTGAGCCGTTATTAAATTCAAAAGGAGTAATCTGTAGGCATACATTGTAAACTAAGGCATAATGTGTAGTTAAAAGTCATGTCGCAAAAATATTATTGGGCTATACCTCCGGACATAAAGTTTCGAAAACTTTAAAGAGATTTTACTGTATGCATGTTAAAAACATGCTATACACATTATTGCCTTTTTGAGAAGCAGAACCTGTCTCATGATTGACTTGTTATCTTATTGCATTTATTTCTCAATGGAATTTGTGAAGCATATTCTGCCTCCTAAACTTGTATTATCTTTTTATTTTACTGATTATGGTATATCTGCCACGAAACGCAAGCTAAGTGAAGCTATTTAAATTAATAGCTTAGGGAATACGCTGAATGTGAGGAATGGTGGCAGACAGTTGAGTATTAATTACTTT